ACCATATTATTCAATAAGGATTTGATTACCTTGATTGAGACTAAAAAATAGCCTCAATTAGTTTAACAACTTTGGCAACATCTCCCTGGCCATACTTGGCTTTAAAGCTTTTACATGCTTCATATCTTGATTGACATAAGAGTTTTCGCGATTCCTAGTTTTACCGCCTGTTGTATCTAACTTAGCACCATGATGTTGTTCTTCTTCCAACCCAATATATGGATTGTTGACAGTTGGAGCTATGATGGTGCCATTGATGAAGACGATTTTGTTATTTGCTCAAAGGGCATTATACATCGCCTTGCTCTAGTCATCATAGTTGGTAGTGGTGAGCTTCTCACCCACCAACAGTATTCCGGGCTTCTCAAAATCATGTAGGTAGTACGGATAAGAAATTGGGTCACCATTGTTAGCGTTGGTTGTGCATTTGCATTTTATTCCATTGTTTTAGAATGCGGCTAGTGTTTGGAACCAAACTCTGATACCATATTTTTTTTTTTAAAGAAACTCTAAAGACCTGGGCTGTTCTCATTCATCTCAATGTATGTATATATATGGTTTACAAGTGCTACAGTCCAAAGCTTTGCAGGTAAAAGGAAGGTGAAAATGACAGAAAAAAAGAAGAAGACATTTGAATTGTTGAGTTACTGTGTTTCCTTTGGTCTCAATGAGATTCGTCGAAGATGTCGCACCAAAAAATGCACTATGTCTTCACTTGTGAATCACATGGCTCAGGTTTGAGTCCAACAGGAGAAGAATATTTCAATTTTGTTGTTAGGAGGTGGCAGTGGCGACACAATCTAAGAAGGAGAGACCGTGGAAGAGATGGCGTTGGAGAAGCTCCAGATCATAAGATACTTGGATTTCGTCTGCAGATATGGGAAGTGTTTGTAAAATGGAGTTGGTGTAATTTCGGTGGTTGGTGAAAATACAATTAATATTTTGATAAGAATTCGAGCTCGTGAAAGTTTAGGTTCTTTTTCAAAGTCGCGCAACTTCAATCTTTTTAGGATTTTTTCTGAATTTTCTCTCAACAACTCGAAAATAAAGGAGAGAGCGGAATTGTCGTGCAATCTCAACACGAAATTAGGAGAAGGCTCGAACAATATAAGGGTAGCAGCTCGACCACAATCAAGGGGAATACCTGATTGATTCAGAGCTCGCTCGAATGCTGGAGAACTACCAACAAACAAGGACAAAATCCACGAGTAAAAACTCAATGAATCGAAAAGGGTTTTGCCACTACAAAAGTCTGGATAATCTGAATAGTCTCCTAACATTCGTGTCTTACAACCCTTTAAATAGGTATGGAAAATAAACCTAATGAAAAGACCAAAACTGAAAAGAATTCTAAATGAAAAAGGTAACACAAACTTGGACAAACCCGAAACCCAGTCCAAATACGCGGCCGGGTATTTTACATCACTGGCCGGGGGAAATCCCTGGACATGATCCCCGGTCTCTACCTCAATTACCCGGTCAGGGAATGGCAAGTGCCACCGGGTATTCTTCTCCTGCGGCTCACATCAGTCCCTTCCCGTTGAAGAATCTTTGCCCTCAAAGCTTTCCATCCTGTCTTCCAAACGAAATTCTCAAGAGTCCTCCATCCGGGTTCACCATCTTCTTGTCTCTTCTTCCTGTACGTCCGCTGAAAGAAAAGACAATCATCCATAGAAATATGATTGTGAAGTCTCTACTCCTCTCCATATAGGCCTCTAACCCAGTCCGCTAGCTCGGCAGTGGTCATTCCTTGTTTCACAGTGACAGTCGTCAAAGCTTGTGGAGTTCTGCAAGAAAGATCATCATAACAGGGATCGTGATAAATCTTCTGCATTTTCTTCACAGTGATCGTCTCGCAGAAATCTTCTTCCTCCTTCTGCGGTTCTGGATAGTTGATCAGCAATTTCTCTGCTTCCAGATTTGCCTCGTCCTCCTCCTCCTCAGCACTCGAACTATGTTGTACTGGAGGACTCAAACTCTGTTTAGCCATGGTTAGAAGCATATCTCCCACCTTAGCAATCTGTGCTGCAAGCTGTTTCATGAGGTCTTCAATGTTTATCACCATGGTTTGCTTCCTTTGCTATCTGTAATTTCCGCTGAGTTTGAATGGGGCTCTGATACTACCTGATAAGAATCCGAGCTCGTGAAAGCTTAGCTTCTTTTGTCAAAGTCGCGAGTTTCGATCTTTTTAGGTTTTTTTCTGAATTTTCTCTCAACAACTGGAAAATGAAGGAGATGGCGGAATTGTCTGCAATCTCAACACGAAATCGGGAGAAGGCTCGACCAATATAAGGGTAGTAAGTCGACCACAATCAAGGGGAATACCTGATTGATACAGAGCTCGCTCAAATGCTGGAGATCCGCCAACAAACAAGGACAAAATCCATGAGTAAAAACTCAATGAACCGAAAAGGGTTTTTCCATTATCAAAGTCTGAATAATCTGAATAGTCTCCTAAAATTCGTGGCTTACAACCCTTTAAATAGGTATGAAAAATAAACCTAACAAAAACACCAAAAAGGAAAAGAATTCTAAACGAAAAAGGTAACACAAACTAGGACAGACCCGAAACCCGGTCCAAATATCCGGTTGGTATTTTACATCACTGGCCGGGGGAAATCCCTGGACATGATCCCCGTTCTCTGCCTCAATTACCCGGTCGTGGAATTGCAAGTGCCGACCGGGTATTCTTCTTCTGCCGCTCACATCATATTTTTATTGTTTTAAATTCTTTAACTGCCACATCGTCCACTTAACAGTCAATGATTATGGTTGACCACTACGTAAGATAAATTTAATGGAATTGGACGGCTAGTGAATAATGATGAAATGAGCTTCAAATTGAATGACTAACAAACAATAAAATTCTTTTGGGTCTAAAAAAGAGGGAAATTTATAAATCGAGTGACCAAACATGTAATTTAGTCATTTTGCTTTCTCTTCTTAAGAAAAATTCGAATGTTTAATTATCGAACTTCTCTGAATTCTAATTCTCTATCTTGTATTTCTTTTACACTATATACAAGATTTTGTTTTTGTATTGATTGATGATTTGTTACTATGGAATTTGATGTGTCTGCAAATGTGTCACTTAAAGGCGCTCAATTTATCTAGAAAATCAAACGTGAAATAAAAACCCTAACTCAATCATAGTGAGATCTATGACAAAGCGTGTTATTTGGAGTTTTAAATATATGAAGCCCTACAAGCGGTCTCTCCAAGAGAAGCTATCTCTTCCAATGCCATATATACATGCCTAGTCACCTCCTAACATGCCTGGTCATTGTGATCGAGTTATCTAGGCATGTTCTAGAAGCTATCTAGAACATGCCTGGTCTTTGTGATTGAGTTTACGTGTGGTTACTGGGCATGGCACTATTAATAATATTCATGGTTTGCGAAAGAACCTTCCTACTCTCCGGTTCTCACATGAGCTTTAAACCATGCACAATACCAATCAACTCTACACGGGTCATAGACTCATCCCCGCCCCAAAGGTTCATTGAGTAGGCTTTCAAGAAGAGTCCATTTTCTCTCTTCACGATGTTGCAAGCCGCTCTGTCTGAAGGAGACGAACGATGAAGGCATTGGTGTTGAGAAACGTCCAACCTTGCTGCGATGGCTTCAACTAATGTTTCGTCTTTCCCATATTCCTCCAAATCCAAAGATATCCCTCTCCTTCTCAAAGCCTATTGCAGTATGCTATCTTCGCTGCTTTGTGTGAAACTGAAATTGTGCACAGGTTCTAAAGACACCTGCTTTGTGAGAGCTCCGTCCTGACGAATAGTAGTGTATCCATCTTTGAAGGCTTCCTCACATAATAGGTGGTCAGGTTCATTGCCAAATAGGTCCTCCTATGTCAGTATGATGAAATGGCAGTCGCGAGGGACATGTCATGTTGAATCTTATCCTCCTTCACAAATCTTGTAGGAAACATCGAAAGTGAGGTGTCGTCGATATCTCTCAGCTTTTATCAAGAGTCGGTCATGAGAAGTGAACCAAAAAAATTTTGAATCCATGGCATCGCCAAGGTACACCACACCGATGGCCTGATGGGAGGCTGAAGGAAGGGCCACCGTCCATATCCATGAGTGAATAAGTTGTCTTCAGAGAAAAACATCTTGTCGCGAAGTAGCACCAAACTCGGACATCCTTAGGTGATTCGCTTGGTTTAGGGTGCAACATAACTCAAGCAATAAGCCACGAAGAAAGTTTCTCTGATGTTCGAATCTTTGGAGACCATAGCTGAATTAACATATACGGGCCATAGATGATTCAGGGGATCTAAGTAAAAGCAATGGGATAGTTAGCTTAATTGGAGAGCTTAACCATGATCTTGTCTTAGTCAAAATGAAGAACATCCAAATGACTTGTTAGCTTCCATAACCACTGGTTTTGGGTCCAGAGGTAGGGGTAACTAATTTTCACTCCAAAAAAGCATACAACAACAATCTGTTGGAAGGGTTCACACACACGTCGGAGAATTGCGGGAAATCAACATAGATAATGTTCTCCCATCATTGCTTCCCACGAGGTAATTTTGAAGACCGATAGAAATCTCGAGGATGATCGCCTGCTTGTTACGTTATTGTACTGCAGCGAGGACGCTCTTGTATAAAAGAGGAGAGCGTTGGTTTGGGGAAGCTGACATGGAGAGGTCTTTTCTCAAACCCTTCAAATATATTTAAAGATTAAAAAATATAATTTCATAAAACTACAAAATAATTCGTAACTCACTATTTTTGTTCTTCTTCTTCAATTGATTACACTGTATTGTTTTTACGAATCAATTACACTACAGTACAACAGCATACATAGCTCACATAAATTAAGCAAGGGATAGGAAGAGGTCAAGGCTAGCACTAAGAACTAAAATCAGCCAGCTCCCAGCTGCAAGAAACGGAGAGAGAGATGACAAAACCCACACAGAAAACAAGTGCCAATTGGAAGCTTATAGAACTGTAGTTGAAAAACAAGGACCAAGCATAGAGACCTGAGGGCTGAGGCATCCTAGGCCGGATTCGGCCTTTACCATCGGATTCATCGATATTCTTCTTCCCTCGTAATCACCATTGCTTGTTTTGATATATAAGCTCTCCCCCCATTTCCTCCATTACCACACTCCTTTTCCTTGCCCTTTCAAATCAAATTTCCACCCACTTCCCCTCCATCAATTCTCTTACCTGGGTTCTCATTCTCGTTCCTTGAACCTCCTGAAAGTTGCCATCTTTTCTTCTTTCGCCCCCATGGACCTGGACAGTAACTACTTCCCTGCCTTCAACCGAACCAGAAGCGGCTACGAGCCCTCCGATGCAGAGACCGATTGGAGGGAGAGCCCCATCCAAATCCGCAGCAATGGAGGAGGAGGCAGAGCAACGAGCTTCGATTCAGACACAGACATGGAATTACCTCCACAAACCCTCACTACTTCCAACAGACAACAGCAACAACAAGCAAGGAAGTTCAATGACGACGACGACTACAACAACAACAACAACCTTGATCATGATCACAATTCTTCATCTTCCTCCTCTTCCGCTGATGGAACCAATTCCATCGCCAGCTCCACTCGCCGCAAGACCAAGAACCAGCGCCCCAGGTCCACCAGCGCCACCAGGACCAGGGCTAACATCAAGGACCAGGACAATGGCGCCGGATTATACGCCTACAAAGACCAGAAGCAGCTGAAGAAGAATCACCCTCCACCACTTTACCCTTCCAGGGCAACTTCAGTTGGGGAGCTGAACGAGATGATCGGTACAATGAAGCTCTCCAGAGCCGTCCCTGGTGGAGGGAAAGGAAACCCTATGTGTGAGAGCACAGATTCACTCTCCCCAGGTGACATCTTTTTCTCCAGAGACGTGACTTCTGCACTGCCACCACACCTCCAGAAGAATGGAAGGTTCCAGCAGCCGGATTTTGCAGTTCACAATAACAACAACAACAAGCAAGAGACCACAGGGAGCGAGGATGTGAACATGAATGATCACAAGGCGTCCACAAGGTCTTCTTCTTCTAGCTCAGGATCGCGTACCACTGCAACAAGCACCAACTCCACGCCGGGCTACTTCCACAGCAGCGGGAAGATGAGCAGTGACACGAGTAGCAAGGTGAGCGATATGAGCGGGAGGACGACGGAGAGCGTGAAAGCATTTGTGGCCAACAGGAAGAAATCGCAGTCTTCGGATTCCAATTGGCTGTCCTGTATCAAAGGAAGGAGCTGCAGGACGAATCAGAAGTCCCCCGAGAAGGAAAAGGTGGATGAATCTACCTATATTGCGAGGGCGAATGTTGTTGAGAGCTTGAGTCAGTTCTGGGCTGATAAGTACCAGCCCTCGTCGTTGAAAGCATTCAGTTACCATAAACAGGAGGCTCAGCTTCTGAGGAAACTTGTAAGGAGATGATGCTGATGAAGATGATGATGATGACCAACCCCGGTTCCTTTGTGAACTGATCTTCTTGTTGTTTTTCAGGTGTCTCAAGACAGTATCCCTCACATCCTGTTCAAAGGGCCATCCATCTCTGGGAAGAAAGGTTTGATGATGGCGCTTCTTGGTGACATATTCGGGGATGCTTGCTCGCAGATGTCCCATGACTTGAGATTCTTCCAAGCACAGGTAACTTCTGATTGATCTCATCGCTCAGAAACATAAAGTAAGGAGTTTGATTTGGGAAACGCCGTGAGTGACATCTTCAACTTCCGGTTGTTTCGACAGGAGAAAAAGGGAGCCCAGGTGGTGGTTCCAATAACATCAAGCGCTCATCATGTGGAGCTGAACGTGAAATCAGAACCAAACGCCATGAGTGCGCTGATGGGTTTGGTGAAGGAGATCAGCAACGCTTATTCACTAACACCAGAAGTCAGCACCATAAATTTCAGACCAGACTATAAAGGTTGGTTCCAACATTTTTTAAGCAAACACTTTATGATCACACCGTATGAAGGGTCTAAAAGATCTAACCTTTTTTTGGCTGGGCATTTCTGCAGTGATAGTTCTCTACGAGGCTGACAGAGCGCCAGAGAACATCCAGCATCTGATCAAATGGATTATGGACTGTTACACGGATTGTTGCAAGCTCATTCTCTGCTGCGATGATGATGCGGAGATGCTCGAATCGGTGAGAAATCGGTGCAAAGTTGTGAATGTCGATGCTCCTGCAACACATGAAGTAAGTAGATGCGTGAAATTCTCACAGATATGGTCACTGCGGCTATTTTGAACAGTTCAATAACATAACACCTACTGGATTTGTGGCAGATCATGGAATTTCTTGTTCAGATATCAAAGAAAGAAGGGTTTGATCTACCCATGAACTTTGCTGCCAAGATTGCTACGAAAGCAAAGGACTTGAGAAGGGCAATCATGGCACTGGAAGCTTGCAAAGCACACAAGTAAGAGTTCACCAAAAAACCAACACAAGTTTTACTGACAGACTTAAAGTTCCATCATCATAAATCTGAATTCCTTGCAGCTACCCTTTCGCTAACGATCAACCCATCCCAATATTCTGGGAAGAGGTGCTGGTAGAAATCGCCACTGAAATCATGGCTGATCCATCTCCTAAGAGGTCTATATATTGTTTATGCTTGGGTTCATCGGTTCAGCTTATTTGGGTGAAGGAAATACTGAATCTCATCTTTGTTTGTTCTTTACCAGGCTTTTTCTGGTGAGGGGGAAGTTACAGAAGTTACTAGTTGATTTCGTCAATCCCCAACTAATTCTTCAGGTGAATGAATACCACATCCTCTTCTAGTCTTCTCGTTTATTTGCAGCTCCATCGTTTATTTTACTAACGAGTGTCGGGTGTCTTTAACAACGATAACAGAAACTTGTGGAGCAATTCCTGAAGGAGATGCCGTCAAGCTCGAAAAGAGAGCTTTACTATTGGCATGGCTACTACGTAAGTTTCTTCAGTTTCTGTTCCTGATGAGCAACTCAAGGGACAAGTTTTACCATCATGTGAAAGTGACTGATTTCTGGGCTTCTCGCAATCCCATTGCAGGAAAAGAGGCTCCCAGCAGGTACAACTGCCTTGCTCAAGCTAGAAGGTAAGCAAATCATTAATTTCAAACCCAATACTTGCAAGTGAAGATGATTAAATGCAAATGCTGACTATTTGGCCGTGATTTTTCTTCTGACTATTGCAGAATTCGTTGCCAAGTTCATGGGCATGTACCGGAAGAGTATAGGAAATCGCCAGTTCTAACTCTTGAAGGAGTAATTTTACCATTTGGGTTTAGCTATTTCTTCAAGCTCTCCATTCATGGTGATAAAGAAATCATCGCCCGAGAGAAAGAGAGAGAGGTCTCCTGTAAATTCGACCTATTTGTTGGACCCGAAGATCAAACTGCAATCAAAAGCTGACAGCTTTCAGCTCCCCAAACTAGATCGTCCCTCTTCTTTCAGATTTGTTTGCTGTTAAGACATCCACAGAACTATCCTTTGTTCAAAATCAGGCCCCCCAATTTTTATATTCCTTGTATTTGTATCGTCCAATAGGGCTCCTGTGCTCATTTTGTCAATATTAAACTACTCCAAATATGCATCTACGTCTAAATTAACAGTTCTGTACCCAGAAAAGAAGAACAAGAAACGTTGGTATTACTTATCAAGAGGGTTCAAGGGTGAAACACAATGAAGCATCCAACAGGTATTCAATTCAATCTGAGCTACGTACATATTTCATGAACCATCCTAAAGCTGATCTTTTTTCGGTAACAAAATAGAGGGTGGGGGAAAGTAGTAGATGTTGCAGTCAATAACAGCTTCCAACATGCTGAACACCACTAGCTTACAGTAAGTAAAAAAAGATCCCCGCTCCTCAGTTGTGTAAATCTCTGATGACATCCGAGCTCTCCCCTCATCTGGTAGCTTTAGTCAGTCTCGTGACTTGCTGCTAATTTCAGGACGCTTGTTCCCAGTATACTTCTGCAAGCATCCAGGGAATAGAGGACATTACACATCACAGATTAGTCGGGTAGAAAAAGCAAACTTGGAGAACTAAAATAATAAGGGTAGGTGTAATTTGTAACAAGACATGCACTTAGGCACTTAGCCCGCTAACACTAACCTTCTTTCCAAAGTCAAACGGCACATACTTATACTTGATCATATGCATGACTTGTTTTCTCATTGTGAGAACAAAGAGAACGATCCAGTAAAGCACTAGTATCGGCCAGAAAACAGGTACGTCAAGCACAGGGAAAAGGGTCAAGAATGAAGCAACAAGAACTGCCTTGGTGAAGGTGTACCTGTAGACATAAACCAATTAACTGTGTTGGAAAAACTACATTTCACCACATTCCGATGTTCAAGGCATCGCCAATTAGGCAATGCAGAGAATAAACCAGAGCACTCCTTAGTCCAGAAACTGATTGAACGCCAGAAACATGGTACATCTCTTCCCAGGAAAGTTTCCTTAATGATTGTGATCAAATTTGTTGCCTTGAGTCCTTAACTAGGCATATCATTAAGCAGAGCAAGGAATAAGAAGCTAAAACTCCTAAACAAATTGCCTTTGCTGTGGGAGCTAAACCAGCAACTCCATATTGAATTGCAACGGATGCCAGCAACAGAGCAGAGAAACAGAAACAAGAACCCGCATGGGTTCAAGTGAAATTTGCCAGAACTAAATTGCATGAAGCTGGTCAACAAAGGTCTTACTTGATCAGAACAATTGGTCTGAGCATCAAAACGCATTGCCAAAGATTCTAAAGTATGAATGAGATACTCCCATTCACAAGGAACAAGCAAGTTAATGGACACCCGTTTCTTGTTGCGGTGTAAAGCAACGAACAAGCAGCTGCACATTAGGGTTTATAGTCAACTAACACGTAATGAGATCTTGAAGGAGCAAAAGAGATCCCCGTCCAGAGACCCCGAAAACAAATAAAAGAACCAGCACAGAATCCTAATCGTGCTTCTAGCCTGAACTACAGATGCCTGCCTTCCCTACTGCAGCAGCCAAACAAAGCCAATCGATGGTCCGTCTCCAAGCTTCCCACTCTCAAATTGACAAACACTGAGATACTACTACAACTGCCAACACTAATTCACATTAAGCTCAAGAATCTTACCAGAACTTGAACTCGGGAAGCCTGCGAATAAACGGCCTGAATTCATCGGAAGTCTTGGTCGGCAAAGAAGCTCCATCAAGAGACTCAAGCTCCGGATCGATCTTCGGGGAAAGGAATTGAATCAACAGATTCAGAACGTAGATCCCGAGCCCGTAGGAGACGACGTAAAACCCCTGGACATAGTAAATCCGCAAGGCGAATAACAGGACCGCCGCAAGCGTCCCCACCCACCTCAGCGTCGGCTGAGGCACCGATCTATCAAGGTAGTACTGGAACACTCTGGAGAAGTCGCTGCACCACTTGACAAACGGCGGCACAGCGCTTTCAACTCTTGCTTCCGCCATTGGAGCCGAATCTGTTGGAGCAAGGGTTTCAATGAATAAGATGTCGTGAGAAGAAAAGCATATTACTTTCTGCTCCGTTTCACCTTCTTTTTTCTTTTCTTTCCCGTTCTTCTCCGTTTCTTCTGTTTCACTTTTTCCAACGCAAGTCAATTCTAACCAAGGTTCAGGTTGTCGACCCGCAGGTCGACTCACTTACCCGGCTCAAGTTAGTGTGCATAACCATGCACCCATCAATAACTAAATCTGGACTCTTCATTTAGAAAATCCAGATCTAAGGATGGAGAATTAAAGATCATTTTTATTTTCACTAGCTTTCTTAATTGACTCATATCTTTTTCGTATTAACTCGGATTTTAAATTTTTTTTGCACAGATGGAACGAGTTCATCGTGCTCTACAAAATGAGATCAATTTTCAATATTTTTTTAGGAAAAAAAATTATGGCCTCTCGGTACCAACTGCATACCATATGGTATATTCTTCGTTTTTAATTCGTGTTTGAAAACGTTTGCACAGCAGGGACGAGTTCATCATGATATATTGGATCTACAAATTTCTGGGTGAACAAATTACAAGACAAAAAAATACCACACAATACCATACAATACCACCCTGGTACGGGGTGGTATCTTATGGTATCTTATGGTATACAAAGTTAAAAGTCGTAAATGACAATTAATATACTTCTACTATCATGTATTCAACCATCCTACAGTTTTGGTTTGTGTCATACCACCATGGTACGCTTTTCAAACCATAGGTATGCTTTTATTTCAATACCAGTCAATACCATATGGTATAGACTGGTATAAAATGGCTCAATTTTTTTTGTTCGAAAAATATATCAAAGTGGATATCATTTTGAAGAGCACAATTAATCTGATCTAACTGTGCAAAAAAAATTAAATTTCGACTTAAAACGACTGAGAAATCGTTCGTCAAAGATTAAGAAGGGGAAAATTAAAGGCTTTCCAAGAGAGAGAGGATGCTGATGTCATGCTGATGTGGGCGGATTACTCATAGTTACTCACCATAAGGTTACTGATTTGATCCATTCCCTAGATGGCAATGGGGCGGGTTTGCCTAAACTATCCTCATCCCCATCTTCAAATATCCAAACCCATACCCGTCCCATACCTAGGGGTGTTAATCGGTGGTCGGTTAATTGGTTAACCGAAAAACCGAACCGAACTAGTCGGTTAGACGGCTAACCGAAAACCGACAATAACCCTTCGGTCTCGGCTTCGGTTGGCATACTTTGGCATATTTGTTAACCGACGGTTTTCGGTTGCTAACCGATAACAACTCGGTGCACCAAAATCTAACCGACTAGCTGAAATTATCTCACCCAACCGAGCCTCCCCTCTTTCAATCCCCATAAACATCACGACTCTACTTCTGCCTCTAAAGAAACAAAAAGCTTCCCAACTAAATTTATTACAATTATGAACCCTAATTTCCTTAACAATCAAGAACCCAAAAAACTCATGATGTAGTTCGTCTCTAATATACCTCAACGGAGCCGGAGATGACAGATGCCTAGATGCGCCGCCACCATCATTGGCACTTTGAACTTAAAGTTTGAATATCTCTTCCATTTTCGGCAGATATAGATCCAGATCTTCCTGAACCCTCTGCCTCCGGCGACTCTTTCTCTTCCTCCTCTGCCACCGGCGCCGCTGCTGCCATTTCGTTCTTCATTTTCCTCCTCTGCCGCCGGATCAAGAGTCGTCGCCCGCCGCTACCATGCCCTTCTTTCTTTTCCTCCAGGCGTTCCTCTTTCTCTTGCTTAATGGCGAGATTCGCGGATCTGTTTCAGGAGGCGGGGGAGGTAGTGGACTGGAGGAAGATAACGCAAACCAAAAATCCGCCCAGATCCAGTACCTCCTCCATGCATGTTCATCGCCAGTGGGTAGAGGATAGAGAATTTTCTGGAAACAAAGGAGAGAGAGACGCAAAAATGGAGAAAGGGAAAGTATGAAAGGAGAGAGAACTCACCATATTTTTTCCTTTTTAAAAGACTTTTTCGGTTGCACAATAACCGACGAACCGAGCCGAAATAGGCGGTTTCGGTGTCGGCTAACCGTAGTCTTATTCGGTGTCGGCTTTGGTTAGAGGTTTCAGCCCAGTTTTGGTCTCGGCTAACCGTTCGGTCGGTTTGGTTAAACCAAAACCGAACCGACTATCACCCCTACCCATACCAATGCGGGGGAATGTTTTGCAAACCCATCCCCATACCCGTGGGTTTCGGGTACCCATGGGTAATACCCATCACCGTACATCCAACATTATTATACCTAAAACTTACAAGAAAAGTTTTAATTATAACCATAAACAAACCTATTATATCATGAAGTCAACAAAACACGGTCATTTTCTAAATACGATTCAAAGAATATGATCCTAAAACATCCATTAATATATAATATAGACTACAATATTTTTTAAATTATTATGCTCTAACTCTTTATACATTTACTAAGTAATAATTAACCAACATAATCTTGTTGACAAGGGGGAAAGTGAAAGAGTGGAAGGAGAATTGAGGGAAATGAATTAGGTTTTGATTAAGGTGGTTACTCAATTGCATCTATTTATTTTCTCGAGTTATCATCATCATTGTTGATAGATTACTATTTAATCCACATATTTTTTTATATGTGAAGAAATTCTCTTGGTGGGGTGGGTATGGGTATGGGGCGGGGGTGGCTACCCATCAAACCTTTTGTGGGTTTTACCCATACCCGCCCCATACCCGGTCAAAGCGGGGATTCCCCGCGTTGACTGGGTCGGGGGCGGTCGGGTACCCGCGGCCATGGGTTTGATTGTCATCCCTACTTACCCTGACCCAGTGAGAAAAATGAGCCGCACGCATCCGGCAGGTCGACTGCTACAAGATATGGGGTTGGAGGTCAAATTGTGTCTTTTTTTTGTTTGCGAAATGCGCCTATTTTCCGATTTTTCTTTTCGCCTAACTCCATTTTTGGAATCCTAAGTTGAATATTTGAATATATATGTTATATAAGTGTGTGTGAATTTTCACTATATGTTGGATCTAAGTACGACATGTTATTTTGGTAGAATATTATATGTTATAACTCATATGTTAGATAAGATTTGATATAATTTATCAGGATAAGTACAATATAATAACTTTTTTCATATTTTCGGGCTAAAATGGGTGACTAATTAACCCTTGACCCGCTAGCTCAATCGGGTCCGGGTCAACCCGCGGGTTGACAACCTTATTTCTAACCAAAATACATTATCAAAACTATATAACCTAAATAAAGTGCGTTAAAATTTAAATGACATTTTACAAGAAAATAAGCAACAATGTCTCGCCTACATTTTCTCTTTTTTGTCAAAAGATCACTTCTATTATCGAGAAAACGGTTAGATATAAACGAGTCACATTATGGAAAATAGTCAAGAAATAAAATAAAACCCCATGAAATGGGAAACAATAAAAGGACCTTTCCTACCATCAAATGGGCAACCCTGTTAAACTGACGACCTACAAACCTAACATCAAATCTCTCAAACTCCACACTCAAAGCCAAGATCTCTTCCAAAATAGCTCCACCAAACACATCAGAAGATTTGTTAGCCCTGACCTTGTCAAATATAGACTTCGCATCACCTACAAACAAAAAGACCGGAGGCCCCGCCCATGACACCAACGAATCGCATCCCGCAAGGCTAACATCTCCACCAGGACGAGGTTAAAGATCCCATCGTCCCGAAGCAACTTGCAAAACCCAGCCCTCAGCCCCATGAGTCCCCTAGACGTAGCCTCGCCCACCATAAGGACGAGCCAAGTATAACCGACGACCGGGTGTAGCATAGAGTAAGCAAGCAATAAAAATATCGCACCACGGGCTTGTAGGGGTACCTTACTTCGGGATAGGTTTCATTATCTAGCAAACCTAGCTAATTACAAGTTGTGGAGCTCTCTTAGTTAGAATTCCCCTAATTTCATCATTTAGATCAATGTTGATTACCATTCTAGCTCGATCCACTCACGACCCCACCGTTATGAGATAGACTCACTCAGAATTGACCCGGAATGGCAAAGTGATGGATGTGTAGTGCTCTATTCAACCTAGGGATTCATATATCGTTGAATCAACTCATTCAGGTATTACTCGAAAAAAATATGATATGAGTGACCCGAATATGCCAATAATGGGCTCTAAGGGGATTATCTCCCTCATAGATCAAAAGCTCAATTGACATGAAGTGGAATCCAAAATCATGCAATTCGTGAAAACCATCATCAAATAGATAAAATCATCCATCAAACATAGAATACGTCACATACATCAACTTCAAACCAAAATCTAGATACAGGGTTCATCAACCTAAGAGAAAGAGGTCTAGTTCATAGAGAGAGAAGAGAGATTACAAAAATAGCTCAAGATCTTCATCTTCTAGGCTTGATTCCTTTACTCCAAGATCAACCCAAGCCTCCAATTAAGCTCCAAGATCACTCAATGTCACTTTCTCTCTCTAAAAACTCATCTTTGGTATTAGGTCGAAACCTAGAGAGAACCAAGTTCTTCACAAAAACTAGCTCCCATTTCTCTCTCCCAACTGATGTACTTTTATCTACTCGAAAGTGACGACTTCACGGTCACTGTTCATTAAGGTGATAATAACAAGCAGATGGTGATCTCGGCCAAAAACGCACAATTTCGTGATATTTTCATGGTCACGGGGTGATTGTCATAGTCTGGTGAGTGGTGACCGTAACATCTGACTTGCCTGCGAGATGCACAATGGCTGCTGGAATTTGCACACTTCATGGTTTGGGGAAGATTTTCACCCCCCTCAAGGCATGATAATTGCCTCCTACCTGTGAATCTTGCACAAACTCCACTTTTTCGCTCGTTTTGACCTTGGAATGACCCGAAACTTGTCACTGACCTTCCTTCACGTACTAGGACCTGAAATATGACAAAAGAAGCACAACCTAGCGTTAAATAGGTCAAGTAACGACGATAACCAAGTCAAACAATAAGGATATGAGGGGGTGAAAACAAGTGTAATTTTGCCCAAATCAGCCACCACATGACCCACTTCGACTGGCAAAGTTAAAATCCCATCCCACTCGGATACCTGTAAGCGAAACTACAAACGTAATATCCGCAAAGTAAATTGATTAAAGTCAAATACAATCTTATTCCTAGACCGCCAAATCCTCCAAAGAATTGCCACCACCCTCATCAACTCGTCATTTGAAAAATCCTCCCTGTCCAATAACCTATGCCAAAAAGTCCCCATATGGTCCATCGGTAAGACGTTTATGAGTCCCAACAAATCTGATGATGCTCGTAAACCCTGTGCCACACGACATCTAAAGAAAAGATGCTCGAGAGACTCAATCTCCTCATCACACACCGGACAAACATTGATATGATCCTAATTCGAGAATCCTCCCAAATTCAGACCAAAATTCAGAATTGCACAACGTCGAACTCTTTTGGGATTTTCTTCTTTCTTCAATAACACGAAAATAAAGGATACTTGCGGAATCGATCAAACAAATCCGAACTCGTGAGAAGGGCCAGAAGGTATATGAAACCTTCCAAACAATCTCGAACCCGTGGAAGAGGCCAATCGATATCGTCGATGCTCGCCACAACTAGACGCGTTCTCTAGTTGATAAGAGACCACTCAAACCTCCCGAATCCTCAAAGGAGCGAATAAGCAAAACTTTCACTTGAACTTGTAAACACTTGTATTTGATTGCTGAAACTTGAATGTTGGGTACAAAATTCGTAACTCTTACACCCTCTATTTATAGAGGTCTCAAAAACATAAAACTAACCTAAAAGGAATAGGAAAACATATCCCAAACTAACTAGGAAACATAATACTACTTAAATAAGGACTATAACTCGTTTTATGACCAAAGGAAGCTCCTTAGCAGCTAAGTAATATCCAAACACGTTTTTAATGCTTAAGGAAGCTCCTTAGAGATTAAGCAATCTCTATCCTTGTCCTTTTCACATTTGGACGACTTGGGCAGCAAGGATGGACATTTTGGGCTCCAAGAAATGATGTATGCCGGATCCTTAATGCATTCTCCATTTTATCCATCAAGAATGCTCCCAGTTGATCCTTAAATCGTTGAATTCGAACCTTCATCTTGGGACCACGAGAATTGAATATCGCACTAGTCGATATCGCATCATTCCCTCTCTCTTGAAGAAGTTTCGACCTCGAATCTTTATATAATCGTGATCCTTGATGAGCGCCACTCTTCTTGGACTTCCAACGAAATTGCCTTGGTGAGGATCGTATTATTCCCCCCTTCTTATGAACAATTCGTCCACGAATTGTAGAGACATCACAAAGTGGAAAATTTTCTATGTAGCTCAGAACCTCTCGTCGATTTTCCATGTGGACTTCCTCTTCGATAATTGCATCACCAATCACAAAATCAATATGAGCAACTTCGAGAACTAGTGGTGAATGCTCCATAATGTCCAAGCATTCATCTCCGCCCTTGCATTCTGATTCCTCAATGTATTGTTTAACTTCTTGCCCACTCAAATCTGGAACATCAACAAGAATATCTCCTTTTACTTCTTCTGCCTCTTCTTCAACTTGCTCTTCTACTTCAAATTTTGGTTCTTCTTGAGATGAAATCAAAACTTGTGCATCATCTTCACAAGTGACTATAGTAAGCCCATCAACAAGAACCACGTCCTTATCTTCTTCGACTTCAGCTTGTACCTCAACTTCCTCACCATAGATTGAGTTTAAAGAAGCATCACTTTTATCAACATCAACGGATCTTGCACTAGCAGCCTCTTGCTCTTTCTCCTTCTGTGATTCTGGACAGTTGATCGACAATTTCTCTACTTCCAGATTCGCTTGCTCCTCCTCATAGGCTTGTTGTAATTGCCTCCTATCTTCAGCAACCCCTTCCAACGATAATGGTATCAAAGCAAGTTTCTTTTCTTGATGCCGTAAGATGATATTGTTGGTGCTCCTGCTTCGTCGTGCTTGGTGATCATTGTGCCATGGTTTACCAAGAACCACATGAGTAAGCTTCATAGGCACGACATCACATTGAATTTGGTCCACATAAGACCCGATTTTGATCTCCAAAGACACTTGTTCAGTCACAAAAACCCAAGACTTTTCCATCGACAATTGCATAAAGAAAGGGCTAGGATGTCGTTGTGTAGTTAGCCCTAACTTAGCTATTACCCTTGAACTGATCAAATTCGATTTGATCTCTCCATCAATAACCACAGAACACAACTTCTCTTGAACCCAACAACGAGTATAGAACATATTACCTTGTTCTACCTTTTCCGTCATCGCTTCAAGAATGTCTGTCTTCTCCACTGCGTTTGAACCGGGCTCTTGATACCACTTGATATGATCCTAATTCGAGAATCCTCCCAAATTCAGACCAAAATTCAGAATTGCACAACGTCGAACTCTTTTGGGATTTTCTTCTTTCTTCAATAACACGAAAATAAAGGATACTTGCGGAATCGATCAAACAAATCCGAACTCGTGAGAAGGGCCAGAAGGTATATGAAACCTTCCAAACAATCTCAAACCCGTGGAAGAGGCCAATCGATATCGTCGATGCTCGCCACAACTAGACGCGTTCTCTAGTTGATAAGAGACCACTCAAACCTCCCGAATCCTCAAAGGAGCGAATAAGCAAAACTTTCACTTGAACTTGTAAACACTTGTATTTGATTGCTAAAACTTGAATGTTGGGTACAAAATTCGTAACTCTTACACCCTCTATTTATAGAGGTCTCAAAAACATAAAACTAACCTAAAAGGAATAGGAAAACATATCCCAAACTAACTAGGAAACATAATACTACTTAAATAAGGACTATAACTCGTTTTTATGACCAAAGGAAGCTCCTTAGCAGCTAAGTAATATCCAAACACGTTTTTAATGCTTAAGGAAGCTCCTTAGAGATTAAGCAATCTCTATCCTTGTCCTTTTCACATTTGGACGACTTGGGCAGCAAGGATGGACGTTTTGGGCTCCAAGAAATGATGTATGCCGGATCCTTAATGCATTCTCCATTTTATCCATCAAGAATGCTCCCAGTTGATCCTTAAATCGTTGAATTCGAACCTTCATCTTGGGACCACGAGAATTGAATATCGCACTAGACGATATCGCATCATTCCCTCTCTCTTGAAGAAGTTTCGACCTCGAATCTTTATATAATCGTGATCCTTGATGAGCGCCACTCTTCTTGGACTTCCAACGAAATTGCCTTGGTGAGGATCGTATTAAACATGAACATTACCCCCCCCCCCCCACGAATCTACAAAGGCTCTCCTATGGGCAAGACTTGATGAACCAACTGTCAAACGAAGTTACCTCGATTTTGGCAAAAAAGGAGCATTCCATATTTTCAGCCAAATTTTCCTATTCCATAAATGCACCCCCACCTTCACTCGCATCTTCTTTCGTTTTTTAACTCCACAACCAGATGATAACAGGATTAACAGTATACACATCTGATGCATCCCCCATCCATATTAAGCGATTCGAGACTGCCTTAATAGGCAAAGGTATATTCATGATAGCACGGACCGTGCCCATCTAAAAGATATGTCGCAAGCAGTCCAAACGCCACCTCTCCAAGCCAGGATGAATTAATAAAGCCACAGATCCTTGAATATCCCAAATTCCCATGCGAGGACGTGCCAGATACAAATGCAGGGACAAAACCTAATTCTATGTTAGAACGTCCACTCCTTCAACGGTTCAAATCTGCCACCTCGGCGCTTCAAAAAGCAACTCACCGCCTTTTAAGATCCCTTGCCAACCCCACAATGGCAACGCTCCTCCTCGAGCCTCCATAAAGGAAGTGTGAGGGAAATATCTACCATTATACATACGGGACAACAAAGAATCCAGCTACTTCAATAGATTCCTAGCCAACTTAGCAAGAAGAGCCGAATTAAACTCCTCAAATCACAGGAACCATCCCCCCGTCATGTTTACTTAACACGTCAATTTTTGCGCCACCGAATGAATACGATGCTCCCCATGTTTGAAAACCCACCAGAACCTTGCCAAATGCCTATCCAAGGATCGACATAAAGACAATGGAAGCAAAAAGCATGACATGACAAACAACATCATACAAAAATAAATCAATACGTTATGTTTAAAGATCGAATAACATATAAATCTAAATATCTCATGTGCTTTTGATGTGGAAGAAAATTAGGAACATATATAGTTTCCTCTTTAAGATGAATATGACAGTTAAGCGATAGCATCTGATATGGGAGAGCAACATAAATGTAACCCAAGTATGAGGATTGGGAATATTGAATCCTTTAAAGCGTCTGAACATAGTCTTTCTACAAGACTACGTTTTTTATTCACATGAGCTCATTGGTCAAGGTAATGATTACACCTCTGATATTAACTTTGAAGGTCTTAAAGAATTAGGCATCTCCCTTACTATGTTGCTTGGTGAGGTTAAATCCAAAGAGTGGTAGAGATAGCCACCAATAGTGGGTGGAGCGTTCCAATAGATCCAAAGATGTTTCTCTATCTATCAAATACCTCCTTTGGAGTCCTTCCTACTCTATTTTTCAACAATTTCGAATTTGCTAACACAAAGTGCCAGTTTGATGGTGAATCTCTATAACAACTTTCGAATTCTCTAACAGAATACTATAATCTAAAAATATGGAGGAACTATATATGACGGTGTAGGAAGGATCATAACACAGAGGGGTGTTTCAAAGCGATACTTGGTGTGTATTTGGAGGCAAATATGGTGTAAAAGGTCGTGAAAATATGGTCTTGGACATATAGTTGTGTGGAAAAACAAGAGGGGATAAAATTGGAGGCTTAGAACCAGAGTTTGAATTTTGTTGGTCGAACAATAATAGGGTAGTTAGGCCGCCGTTTCGGGTGGGTGGTTCCAAGTTGACTCATGGGCTTCTATTTTCTAATGTTACCAGGCACATGCATACCATTTAAAGGCCAATAAATTGTGGTAAAAACATAAAACAGGGAATACATTTTGAAAATAAGAAGCTACGAGTGCATGATCAACCTCGTTCCTTTGCTCACATAATCAACAACTAGACAAAGAAGGGCATTCCAAATAGAAATACCAACCAGTTTTATTCATAATGAGCCAAATCTCAAAACTATAGCTGGAAAAAAAATCGGGCATCTCTGGGTGGTACTTTTGTTTATGTCTTTAAGTTAGAGTGTTAGACCATAGCATGGGCTACCTCCCATGGAGTGCCCTCTTTTTTATACTTTGAGCTAGGAACGACCTTTGGTGTTTTAGTCTTAGAAATAAAACCAACGTGGCTCAACCATCCATTCTCCTCCCCAAATGATTCAATGGAGAAATCAGATTGATGGCAGAATGTCCCTTTGTTAGTACTCGTCTTTGTTTATGTTGATGACATGCTATGTATAATCGATCATGTAGTATTCCTTCGTCCATGAATATCGACTAGTGGGTCAGATGAAGCTAAGAAGGGTCTTCCAAATAGGATAGAGTATTCTTTATCTCTATCTATGTCGAGTACTACAAAATCGAGAGAGAATACAAAGTGTCCTATCTCGCCTTTGATATCCTTGACCATGCCTCTAGGATGACAAAT